GACCAATAAACGTGGATTTTTCAAGGAATATTATTTTCAAGGACCTACTGACCAATAAATGTGGATTTTTAAAGAATATTTTTTCAAGGATCTACGGACCAATAAACGTGAATTTTTAAAGAATATTTTTTTCAAGGACCTACGGACCAATAAACGTGGATTTTTAAAGAATATTTTTTTCAAGGACTGACGGACCAAAAAACGTGGATTTTTAAAGAATATTTTTTTCAAGGACCTACGGACCAAAAAACGTGGATTTTCAAAGAATATTTTTTCAAGGACTTACGGACCAAAAAACTTGGATTTTCAAAGAATATTTTTTTCAAGGACCTACGGACCAAAAAACGTGGATTTTCAAAGAATATTTTTTCAAGGACTTACGGACCAAAAAACGTGGATTTTCAAAGAATATTTTTTCAAGGACCTACGGACCAATAAACGTGGATTTTTAAAGAATATTTTTTTCAAGGACCTTCGGAACAATAAATGTGGATTTTTAAAGAATATTTTTTTCAAGGACCTACGGGCCAATAAACGTGGATTTTTAAAGAATATTTTTTCAAGGACCTACAGAAAATCATTTAAGTATAAATTAGATTGCATAATTGCTTAATGTATGCAGATCTGTCAATTTTTAAAATATTGAAATCAAACTGGAGGTTGTTGTACCCCATACGATGTAATGAAACAAATTCGGCATATAGACCAATAATCGTGGACTTTTTAAAGAAAATTTATTTTCAAGGACCTGCAGACCAATAAACGTGGATTTTTCAAGGAATATTATTTTCAAGAACCTACTGACCAATAAATGTGGATTTTTAAAGAATATTTTTTCAAGGATCTACGGACCAATAAACGTGAATTTTTAAAGAATATTTTTTTCAAGGACCTACGGACCAATAAACGTGAATTTTTAAAGAATATTTTTTTCAAGGACCTACGGACCAAAAAACGTGGATTTTTAAAGAATATTTTTTTCAAGGACTGACGGACCAAAAAACGTGGATTTTTAAAGAATATTTTTTTTTTTTGTCAAGGACCTACGGACCAATAAACGTGGATTTTTAAAGAATATTTTTTTCAAGGACCTACGGACCAATAAACGTGGATTTTTAAAGAATATTTTTTTCAAGGACCTTCGTACCAATATACGTGGATTTTTAAAGAATATTTTTTTCAAGGACCTACGGACCAATAAACGTGGATTTTTAAAGAATATTTTTTTTGTCAAGGACCTACGGACCAATAAACGTGGATTTTTAAAGAATATTTTTTTCAAGGACTTTCGTACCAATATACGTGGATTTTTAAAGAATATTTTTTTCAAGGACCTACGGACCAATAAACGTGGATTTTTAAAGAATATTTTTTAAAGGACCTATGGACCAATAAATGTGGATTTTTAAAGAATATTTTTTTTGTCAAGGACCTACGGACCAATAAACGTGGATTTTTAAAGAATATTTTTTCAAGGATGTGCAGACCAATGATCGTGGATTTTCAAAGAATATTTTTTTCAAGGACCTATGGACCAATAAACTTGGATTTTTAAAGAATATTTTTTTTAAGGACCTACGGACTAATAAACGTGGATTTTTAAAGAATATTTTTTTCAAGGACCTACGGACCAATAAACGTGGATTTTTAAAGAATATTTTTTTCAAGGACCTACGGACCAATAAACGTGGATTTTTAAAGAATATTTTTTCAAGGACCTACGGACCAATAAACGTGGATTTTTAAAGAATATTTTTTTCAAGGACCTACGGACCAATAAACGTGGATTTTTAAAGAATATTTTTTTCAAAGACCTACGGACCAATAAACGTGGATTTTTAAAGAATATTTTTTTCAAGGACCTACGGACCAATAAACGTGGATTTTTAAAGAATATTTTTTTCAAGGACCTACGGACCAATAAACGTGGATTTTTAAAGAATATTTTTTTCAAGGACCTACGGACCAATAAACGTGGATTTTTAAAGAATATTTTTTTCAAGGACCTACGGACCAATAAACGTGGATTTTTAAAGAATATTTTTTTCAAGGACCTACGGACCAATAAACGTGGATTTTTAAAGAATATTTTTTTCAAGGACCTACGGACCAATAAACGTGGATTTTTAAAGAATATTTTTTTCAAGGACCTACGGACCAATAAACGTGGATTTTTAAAGAATATTTTTTTCAAGGACCTACGGACCAATAAACGTGGATTTTTAAAGAATATTTTTTTCAAGGACCTACGGACCAATAAACGTGGATTTTTAAAGAATATTTTTTTCAAGGACCTACGGACCAATAAACGTGGATTTTTAAAGAATATTTTTTTCAAGGACCTACGGACCAATAAACGTGGATTTTTAAAGAATATTTTTTTCAAGGACCTACGGACCAATAAACGTGGATTTTTAAAGAATATTTTTTTCAAGGACCTACGGACCAATAAACGTGGATTTTTAAAGAATATTTTTTTCAAGGACCTACGGACCAATAAACGTGGATTTTTAAAGAATATTTTTTTCAAGGACCTACGGACCAATAAACGTGGATTTTTAAAGAATATTTTTTTCAAGGACCTACGGACCAATAAACGTGGATTTTTAAAGAATATTTTTTCAAGGACCTACGGACCAATAAACGTGGATTTTTAAAGAATATTTTTTTCAAGGACCTACGGACCAATAAACGTGGATTTTTAAAGAATATTTTTTCAAGGACCTACGGACCAATAAACGTGGATTTTTAAAGAATATTTTTTTCAAGGACCTACGGACCAATAAACGTGGATTTTTAAAGAATATTTTTTTCAAGGACCTACGGACCAATAAACGTGGATTTTTAAAGAATATTTTTTTCAAGGACCTACGGACCAATAAACGTGGATTTTTAAAGAATATTTTTTTCAAGGACCTACGGACCAATAAACGTGGATTTTTAAAGAATATTTTTTTCAAGGACCTACGGACCAATAAACGTGGATTTTTAAAGAATATTTTTTTCAAGGACCTACGGACCAATAAACGTGGATTTTTAAAGAATATTTTTTTCAAGGACCTACGGACCAATAAACGGGGATTTTTAAAGAATATTTTTTTCAAGGACCTACGGACCAATAAACGTGGATTTTTAAAGAATATTTTTTTCAAGGACCTACGGACCAATAAACGTGGATTTTTAAAGAATATTTTTTTCAAGGACCTACGGACCAATAAACGTGGATTTTTAAAGAATATTTTTTTCAAGGACCTACGGACCAATAAACGTGGATTTTTAAAGAATATTTTTTTCAAGGACCTACGGACCAATAAACCTGGATTTTTAAAGAATATTTTTTTCAAGGACCTACGGACCAATAAACGTGGATTTTTAAAGAATATTTTTTTCAAGGACCTACGGACCAATAAACGTGGATTTTTAAAGAATATTTTTTTCAAGGACCTACGGACCAATAAACCTGGATTTTTAAAGAATATTTTTTTCAAGGACCTACGGACCAATAAACGTGGATTTTTAAAGAATATTTTTTTCAAGGACCTACGGACCAATAAACGTGGATTTTTAAAGAATATTTTTTTCAAGGACCTACGGACCAATAAACCTGGATTTTTAAAGAATATTTTTTTCAAGGACCTACGGACCAATAAACGTGAATTTTTAAAGAATATTTTTTTTAAGGACCTACGGACCAATAAACGTGGATTTTTAAAGAATATTTTTTTCAAGGACCTACGGACCAATAAACGTGGATTTTTAAAGAATATTTTTTTCAAGGACCTACGGACCAATAAACGTGGATTTTTAAAGAATATTTTTTTCAAGGACCTACGGACCAATAATGGCGGATTTTTTTAAGGAATATATTTTTAAGGACCTACAGACCAATAAACATGGATTTTTTAAAGAATATATTTTTATGGACCTACAGACCAATAATCGCGGATTTTTTTAAGAATATATTTTTTAGGACCTACAGACCAATAATCCTGGATTTATTAAATATGTTTTTAAAGGACCAACATCGTGGATTTTTTTAAGAATATTTTTTTTCAAGGTCAAACATCGTGGATTTTTTTAAGAATATTTTGTTCAAGGTCAAACATCGTGGATTGTTTAAGAATATTTTTTTCAAGGACCAACCAACCAATAATCTTGGATTTTTGATGAAAATTGTTTCAGGATCAACATAATAGATTTTTTAAGAATATTTCTTTCAAGGACCAACATTGTGGATTTTTTTTTTAAGAATAGTATTTTCAATGATCAACTTCGTCCAATAATCTTGGATTTTTGATGAATATTGTTTCAAGGATCAATATATTAGATTTTTTAAAGAATATTTTTTCAAGGACCAACTTCGTAGATTTCTTAAAAAATATTTTTTTAAGAACACAGTGTGGCGCAGAGACTCCCAACATTAAAGGAGAATTATTAACCGAACGCAATGAGATATGATTTTTCAAAAAAAAAAATTCCATTTTGGCTGTGAAATTTTAAACCTCTCCATCATCGCGTCTCGCCATTACCGCTTCAAATCGTTACGGTGAAACGTATACATTATTAGTTGAATTAGTATCGAAAAAATAGTTTAATTTAATTCCAAATAAAAAGATATTATTTTAAAAATTCCAAAGCTCTTCTATGGCCGTTAAAAAACCTCCACCACTTCTATGGTCGATCGAAGGCCAGCAGATCTTCTATGGACGATATAATACCACCAGCTCTTCTATGGCCGATATAATACCACCAACTCTTCTGTGGCCGATAGAAGACCATCAGCTCTTCTGTGGCCGATAGAAGACCATAAGCTCTTCTGTGGCCGATAGAAGACCATCAGCTCTTCTGCGGCCGATAGAAGACCATCAGCTCTTCTGTGGCCGATAGAAGACCATCAGCTCTTCTGTGGCCGATAGAAGACCACCAGCTCTTCTTTGGCCGATATACGATTTTTAGTTCTTCTATGACCCATAGAGGACCCACAACAAAACAACACGCTCTTCTATAGCCGATAGAAGACCTCCACCTCAACAACAATTATTTATTTTTCATATTTAGTTTTCCTGATCAGTTTCTTCTTATTTTAATAAATTGGAAAAAGAATTGGTTCTCCACACCCGTCTTAAATCCCTGGCTTGATGGTAACGCAGAATATGTCAACTTAGTAAAATATCATATAGTATTGATTGATTAGCCTCCTGGGAGAATATTTCCCCGCACATTTGTGTCGGGTATTATTTTGTAAATCACCTCCTCTCAACAGTTAGTGGTGGATTATTAACCAAATGCAACGAAATATGATTTTCCCATTCAAAGTCTTCTATCTTGGCAGTTGTTGAAAACTTGTACCGCTTGATTATTTTAGCCATTGTTACTTTAAGACTCATTTCAGCGTAACGCATACCTGGAAAGAAAATATTATTTTTTACATATATTCTTCATCAAATTACACTTAAGTTATCTAAAAAAAGAAATCTTATTTCCATTTTATATAAAAAAAAAACCAAAAATTTGAATCAATGCTCAAAAAAAAAAAAAAAAAATTGTTCAAGTTGACGCCTAAAAGTAATATAATAAAGCCTTGGGCCCGCAAACATTTTTGCCACAGACCTTGGACATTCCAACAGAACTCAGCACCATCGCACTCAGCACGCGCCTCCCAAGAATGGTTACAAAATGAGGTTCCTCGCTTCATTTCCAGCGCACAATGGCCACCAAAACCTCCGGATACCAATCCGGTGAACTATTGTGTCTGGAGCATTTTGGAAAGCAAAATAATACCAACGTCGATCACAAAATGAGGTTCCTCGCTTCATTTCCAGCGCACAATGGCCACCAAAACCTCCGGATACCAATCCGGTGAACTATTGTGTCTGGAGCATTTTGGAAAGCAAAATAATACCAACGTGTCGATCACCTGAAGCAACCGCTTCGCCGGGAATGGGCCAAAATACCGCGTGGCAGCGTGTGAGGGTTTCATTGGCCGTTTGAAGGCCATAATTCGTGCCAAAGGTGACCAATTCGAACAAATCTAAGTTTATTCTAAAATGTGATGCTATTTCCAACATTTTTTGCTTTCATTTATTAAAATTAAAAAAAAAAAAAAAATAAAAATGTATATACCCTGTATACTTTTTAGTAGAGACCTACAGGCGTCAACTAAGAAATAAAACTAACCGAAACAATCCTGGTCATGTCTACCCATCTCTTTGCATGAATTTCCCTGAAAGCCTCGTCATACTTACCAATACAAGATCTCGTTCCTTTTGAAAACGGCATGTAGGTATATGGATGACGTTGCTCCACATTGCAGGGTAAAAAATTATCCGGATTAAAGGTATTGGCCTTTGGACCCCATATCTGCGGATCACGGTGTAGAAGAAAAATATTCAACATAACATTAAGTCCCTCGGGCAAAACAACCCCATTACTCAATCGTACGTTTCCACCAGAAACTTGTCGTGCAATTTGTGGTACTACAGGAAACAAGCGTAATGTCTCCTTGAGGACCATATCCAAATAGGGTAGCTGTGACAAATGTTCATAGGTCACTTCCATGTTTCCATCATCATTCTCGGGAAATCTTTCACAGATTTCGGAGAAGAGTTTCGACTGAACTTCCGGATGCATGGCCAGCATGAGGACTGTAAAATATATTGAAGATGAGGTGGTTTCAAATGCCTGGAATGAGGGGAATAATGTTTTCTTAATTGCGAATTTATGATTTTGGACGTCTCATACCCCACTAAATAAATGTATCATGCCCGAAATGATTATTTCGCGAGGGGTCTCATTATTTTCGAGGCTCTCATATAAACAATGGATGGCAGTGTACAAGTTTTCCAAATAGCCCGCATCATGTTGGCCAGTAGAAAAAGATTTCAATATCTGAAATGTATTGCAATTAAAACAAGTAAAAAAACTGTAAATTCGGCCGGGCCGAACTTTGAATACCCTCTACCATTTGGAATTTTGCAAATTTTCCAAAAAATAAAATCCGTGAAAAATTCTGCTAAAATTTTAAAAAGTGTATACGATGACGTGGAACTACATAGGCAACTTTTGCCACAAGCCATTACAATACTCAAATGCGAAACTTGGAAAAAATCGGTGAATAATGTAGCCGAATACCGGGAGTTACCATTATATGAGGGCTATACGAAGACGTGCGCCTTGGACGGACAATTTTCTGTAATAGGCTGTAGTATCCATTACGAACTTCAAATACCAAATTTGAAACAATTCCGGTGAAATATTTCGCTAAAATCATCTAAATACCGAATATCGGGAGGTGCCGTTCTATGGGGGCTATATGAAGACGTGGACCTGCACAGACAATTTTCTGTCATAGGCTGTAGTACCCATTACGAACTTCAAATACCAAACTTGAAAGAGTTCCGGTAAATAATGTCTTTAAAATCATCAAAATACCGAATATCGGGAGATGCCGTTATATGGGGGCTATACGAAGACGTGGACCAACATGGCCCATTTTCTGGGCCATGGTTTATACCCTCCAGGGTATAAAAAACATTTTTTTTTGAGTGAAGTTCTACTCACCTTGTCAATTTCGCCCTTTACATATTCAATGGTCTCCCGACATTCCCTGAATATGGTGCGGTGAGCCAAATTGAGCACCAATGGATTGAAATAAAAAAATTTAAATGTTATTTCACTTATATACTCCGTGATGCTATAATGGGGAGTAAACTATGTCTTAGCAATTGCAGATGAAATTGGAAATGTGGACTTTACTTACTGCGTTACAAGCTTGGCAATATGTTTTGTATCGATATTTTTCGCCCTGGCATTGTGACCCAACATTGTCTCTGCAATTGTTGAGTGTTGAGCAAAAAAATCATCATCGAAAAATTCTAGCCCCAAAAACTTACCAAATGTAATGTTAAGCGTAAATTCCCGACAAAATTTCAAAATATCACGGGAATTTTCCATATAGCCACACTGATCCATAGCCGCAAATAAACCGTTAACTTTTTGATTAAATATCGGTAGAAATGTAATTTGATTGGAAACTTTAAAAGGTGGATTCAGCAGTTTTCGATGCGGTATCCATTCCGAGCCTAAATGGAAATTATATTGAAAATATCATAGGTAACATTTGGCTAAAAAAAATCAAAAGTAAAAGTCAAGAAGCAAGACATCTGTAACGAAGTTTTGAAAGTTGTCATCGCAAAGTAACCTAAATAAAGGAGGCAAGTTCCCCACTCTTCTACATGTTTTTCTCTTTTTTTTTTTCAAATTTTCGGATTAGGGTTCCTTGGAGTCCAAGGATTCATTGTATATTGCAATTAAAGATACGACGATTATTATGAGTTATATTATTTTAAGTAGTTATGGACAATATTAAAATATTTAATAATTCATGCCTACAAAAACTGATCACAAATAGTAGCTAAAACGCCGATAACTACATATTTAAGGAGTTATGGCCATTCTGAAGGAGAAGGAAACGAGATAGACCCTTAGTTCCTTGTGTTAATATAAACATTTTATAAGAGTTGTAACTATTCAAAATGTTGACCCTTTTTGGGGGAGGTACGTGATGGAGTGGACCTATATTGTTCATTTTCCCACCTGTCCTAGCACTGACGCAAATATTAGGATTTGCAAAGTTGGAGCAAATTCGGATTATTATACCCTACACCACTAGGTGGTCAGGGTGTTATGTCTTTGTACATTTGTTTGTAACACGCAAAAGGAAACGAGATTGACCCATAGTTCCTTTTGATGATCTGCATAGAATCACATTCTGAGTCGTCCGTCCGTCTGTCCATGTATTTTTGTAAACAAAGTAGAGTTTGCATTTATTGCCCTATCCAGATGAAATTTTGCACAAATCATATGTTTGGCCCAAGGACGAACCCTATTGAAATTGGAGATAATCGGTAAAACTTTATATATAGCTCCCATATATACCTTCGTCCGATTTGCCTTATTGTGCACCAAACGTGTAATATCAGTCCGAATGGTATGGAATTTTTCACGTACGATCAGATTAGACTTGAAAATAAGTATGCCAAATTTGATCGAAATCGGTTCAGATATAGCTATAGCTCCCATATATATTATTCATCCGATTTGTTATTTTTGTCCTCCGCAGCCGTGATATGCACTCTGTAAGAACAATATTTCGGGAAATATATAAAATACAGCTCAGAAATACCTTTGCTAAATTTTATCGAGATCAGTTCAGATTTGGATATAGCTGCCGATTTACCTTTCATTGTGCACCAAACCTCTAATATTTGTCCAAATGGGATGGAATTTGGCACTTACGAACGAAATGAGTCTAGAAGCTAGTATGTCAAATTTGGTGAAGATCGGTTCAAATATAGCTATAGCTCCCATATATATTGTTCATCCGATTTGTTATTTTTGTCTTCCGCAACCGTAATATGCACTCTGTAACAACAATATTTGGGGAAATTTATCAAACACAGCTCAGAAATACATTTGCCAAATTTTATCGAAATCGGTTCAGATTTGTATATAGCTCCAATATATAACTTCGTCCGATTTACCTTTTATTGTGCACCAAATGTCTAATATTTGCCCAAATTGGATGAAATTTGGCACTTACGACCGAATTGAGTCTAGAAGCTAGTATGTCAAATTTGGTGAAGATCGGTTCAGATATAGCTATATCTGCCATATATATTGTTCATCCGATTTGTCATATTTGTTACCCACAGCCGTAATATGCACTCCGTAACAACGATATTCAGGGAAATATATCCAATACAGCTCAGAAATATCTTTGCCAAATTTTATCGAGATCGGTTCCGATTTGGATATAATTTGGATATTAATTGTGCACCAAATGGGCTTCGGCATATTTAGTCCTTTGAACTTTAAATTATAATTATAATCATAGCGTGTATGATTGAATTCTCCCATAAAAACTTTTAATTGTTATGCGCAGCTCTACTAAATTAGCAAAGTGGTGTGTGTAGGGTGGTGTGTGTAGGGTCTTTAAGACTTTCTTTACTGGTTCTTTCTGTTTCTGTGCAGAAAATATATTTTCTGATGATTTCGACCTTTGGTGGAAGATGTAGCAGAAAGAGTGGAGCGATAATGCCTATCTCCGAACTCGATCTAAGTTTGACAAAAATATTACGATGTGCCAAGTTTGGACCAAATCGGATGCTCCCTTCGAGAGTTATCGTGCGCACCAGCCAGACAGACGGATGAACGGACGGACAACGCGAGATTGACCTCATATATTCTGAAACGGATTTGCTCCAAAGAGACCTAGAGTATAACAAGTGATAACAAATTATACATGAAAACGCCTAAAACTAAATATTTAAGGAGTTATGGCCATTTTCGAATATTCAATAATTGATTTAGTAGAGTTTTACGATGTATAATTTTGAAGAAATTTTTGACTTGATACAATCACGTATTTCGGAAAAAAATCGCAAATAAGACTCCTTTGTGTACTGAATTTCTTGGAATTTTCTATTAAAATCATCCTCGCATTGCCAGATACGCCTTAGGTTACTTTGCGATGAAAACATTCAAAATGCCAATACACTTGTCTCCAGTTTTTACTCCACTTTTATAAACTACTTCATTTTCCGATAACTTATTTTTAGTGTAGCACAGTGTAATTGACAGCGATAGACATCACTTACCCTTCATGGTTATTAATCCTTTGCCAAGGGCATTTATGACACCAGTGTACGTTAAATCACTTTTATCGCGACATAGTTTTGAGTTCAAAATATCCTTAATAATAACGGGATCTATTGTGAAATAACACGGAAACGGTCCCATATACATCAGCATATTTCGACCAAGTTTCTGGTGGCCGGTGATACTCTCACTAATGATGGCTGGAATAGAGAAAAAACAGGTAAAAAAACATAAAGTTCCACCGGGCCGAACTTTTAATACCCACCACCCTAGGGTAAAGGAAACATTTTATTATGAATTTGTCAACTATCAAATCTTCTAAAATACAAAATTTGAAACAACTATTTGGGTAGATGTGACTAGGATTATCAAAATACCGAATATCGGTGGGTATCGTTTTATGTTCGCTATAGGAAAACGTTGAACTAAATATACAATGTTCTGCCACCGGGCTAGAACCCATTATGAACTAAAAATACCAACTTTTATCAAAACATCGAGTATCGGTAGGTACCGTTATATGGGGGCTATACCAGAACGTGGACCTACACGCACACTGTTTCGCCACACGAACTACAACCCATTACGAACTACAAAAACACCAATTTTTGGACAAATCCGTTAAAAAATGTGAAATAATCACTAAAACACCGAATATTGGGATGTACCCTTGTATGGGGACCTATACATACAATGTTTCGCTATACGAGCTAGAATCCATTATGACCTATATCGAAAGGTATAATTTGTTTTTCTCCGAAGGCAAAACATTCGTTGTTCAGCAATTTGTAAACAAACAAAATGATCGTGTTTTCTTACCAAAGAGGTCAGCTGAAAATGAGCACCTTCGTTTGGCCTTCAGTATTCTAGAGAGGGTATTAAAGCTGGGCGCGCAAACATTTTGTCAGCAGACCTTGGACATTCCGACAGGACTCAGCACCATCGCACCCAGCTCGCGCCACCAAAGAATGGTTAAAATGAGTTTCCTCGCTTCAATTCCAGCGCACAATGGCCACCAAAATCTCCGATTACCAATCCGTTGGACTATTGTGTCTGGAGTATTTTGGAAAGCATGGAGGGCACTACAAAATACCAACGTGTCGATCACCTCAAGCAAGCGATTCGCCGGGAATGGGCCAAAATACCGCAGGGCAACATTCGTTCGTGCCATAATTCGTGCCAAAAATGACCAATTCGAACAAATCGAAACGTATTCTAAAATTTGATGCTATTTCCGATATTTTTTTGCTTTCATTCAATAAAATGTGAAAATTATGGTGTTTGACATTGTTCCAGGTTTTTTATCTATGACTTTTCGGTTTTAGGTCCATTTGGGGCAAATCCGTTTCAGGACATGTGGAGTTGAACCAAAGATGTTCATCTGTCCGTCTGACTGGTGAGCACGATAACTCTGATGGGAGTATCCGATTTGGTCCAAACTTGATACATCGTAATATTATAATTAAACTTAGATAAAGTTCGGAAATGGGCAATATCGGCCCAGTCCTTTTGGTACCTCCCTCACAAAACGTCGAAATTTCAAATGAAAAAAATTTTACTGCTTAGAATAAGAAAAGTAATCCGATTTTGCTTCAACTTTGCAAATCTTAATATTTTCAGGTGCTAGGTCAGGTGCGAAAATGGACAATATCGGTCCACACCATAAAGTATCTCCCCCCAAAAAGTGTCAAAATTTTGAATAATTATACTCCTGTGATATGTGATGTAAGAATCCGATTGTCTTCAAATTACACAAATCACAATATTTTTATTATCCCAGGGTCTGATGTGAAGATTGGATATATCGGTCCACTCCTTCTGGTACCTCCCACATAAAGGGTCAAAATTTTGAGTACCTTTAAAACCCATAAAACGCAAAATTAACATCCGATTTCATTCAGACTTGGATCTAGCCGAAACATTAGACCGAGTTTAACCTCTGAACAATACGTTGAATTTGTTTAAAATCGGTTCAGATATAACTATAAATCCCACAGATGTGTTTCACCGAATTTTAATTCAAGTCCTCTCAAATTCACAATAGGTACTATACAGCAATAATATTTATAATAGTAGTCATATGTTGATTCCATCCGATTTTAAATTCAAACCGCTTTAAGGAAGTAACAAAATTTTCAAGGTAAACGTCTATTCCCCTTCATTCTTAAACGTATCTTACTTGGTCCATAGTGGTGTAGGGGTGCCAAATAGTCGGTCCATCCAGACTTTTGATCTTTCTTCATAGGGTCATTACTTACATTTCTGTGTCGTTATAGGTCCGAATCCCAGCAGCATCTGCAATTTATACGACGGAACTTTTGTGGCCAACGAAATAACTTTTCGATCATTCCAACGATGTAACAGCCATAAAAATATTGGACAAAATATCACGACAATTAAAAACAAGTGCATTATGACAAGTATTGAAATGAAATGCTTCGATATGAGAGCATTTACATCATTTATATAGGCAAGACAGTGTTTGAATACATGATAATAGATTAAAAGTTGACCGCAACAAGATGTGCAACGTAACGAGTTGCATTTCGTAAAAAAATCAAGTAAAGGAGAAGCTAAGTTCGGCCGGAGCGAACTTTTAGTACCCTCTATCATTTAAAACGAATTTGGAATTTTTCAAAAAATAAAATGCTTAAAAAAATTCTGTTAAAATTTTAAAAATATTGAATATAGCCATTTTATTGGGGTCTATACGACGTGGACCCCAACATATATAGGCATTGTTTGTCATAAGACATATCCAAATTCGAAACTTGAAATAAACGGTGAATAATATAGCTAAAATCATCAAAATATCGTATATAGGGAGGTATCGTTATATCGGAACTCTGCGAAGACCTGGACCAGCATAGATAATTTTCTGTCAAAGGCTGTAGGATCCATTATGAACTTCAAATACGGCATCTCAAACAATTTCGGTAGGTATTATACCTAAACTGTCAAAATACCGAATTTAGGGAGGTACTGTTATATGAGCCCTAGATGAAGACCTGGATCTGCATAGACAATTTTCAGTCACAGACTGTAGTTCCCATTACGAACTCTAAATACGTAATTTGAAACAATTCCGGTGAAAAATTACGCTAATATCATCAAAATACCAAATATTGGGAGGTACCGTTATATGGTGGCTATACGAAGTCGTGGTCCTGCACAGATGCACAATTTTCTGTCTTAGGCTGTAGTATCCATTACGAACTTTAAATACCAAATTTGAAACAATTCCGGTGAATAATGTCGCTAAAATCATCAAAATACCGAGTATTGGGAGGTATTATTATATGGGAGCTATACGAAGACGTGGACCTGCACAGATAATTTTCTGTCTTAGGCTGTAGTATCCATTTCAAACTTCAAATACTAAATTTGAAACAATTCCTGTGAATAATGTCACTAAAATCATCAAAATACCGAATATTGGGAGGTACCGTTATATGGGGGCTATACGAAGACGTGGTCCTGCACAGACAATTTTCTGTCTTAGGCTGAAGTATCCATTTCGAACTTCAAATACTAAATTTGAAACAATTCCAGTGAATAATGTCGCTAAAATCATCAAAATACTGAATATCGGGAGTTACCGTTATATGGGGGCTATATGAAAACGTGGACCTACATAGCCTATTTACGAACTTAACCTGCCTACTGGTAAACTATGCATGCACGAAAAATTTATATATTTTCGAAAGATAGTGTGATTACAATAGACAGCCGAACATCCATACATCGTCTTAGAATTTTACACTGTTTCAGAATATATACTTTGTAGGGTCTATTATGAATATTTCGAGGAGTTACAAATGGAATGACAAAGCTAATATACCCTCCATAGAATGGTAGAGGGTATAAAAATTATTTAATTAAAAGACTTAGTTTTGTGCATATTTTGCTTTCAGAGACAGAGCAATGAGAAATGTTTATACCCTACACCACATAGTGATAGGGGTATTATGTCTTTGTGCATTTGTTTGTAACATGGAGAAGGAAGCGAGGTAGACCCATAGTTCCTTTTGGTGATCTATATAGAATCACATTCTGAGTCGATTTATGCATGTTCGTCCGTCCGTTTGTCCATGTATTTTTGTGAACGAAATGCAGGTCGCATTTATTATCCGATTGAGATGAAATTTTGCAAACAACATTTGTTTGGCCCAAGGAAGAACCCTATAAATTGGAGATAATCGGTAAAAAATTAGATATAGCTCCCATATATATCTTCGTCCGATTTGCATTTTATTGTGCACCAAACGTGTAATATCATCCCGAACAATATGGAATTTTGCACATACAACCAAATTAGGCCTGAAAATAAGTATGAGAAATTTGATCGAAATGGGTTCAGCTATAGCTATAGCTCCCATATATATTGTTCATCCGATTTGTTATTTTTGTCCTCCGTAGCCGTAATATGCACTCTGTAACAACAATGTTTGGGGAAAGATATCAAATACAGCTCAGAAATACCTTTGCTAAATTTTATCGAGATCGGTTCGGATTTGGATATATCTCTGATATATAACTTCGTCCGATTTACCTTTTATTGTGCACCAAACGCCTAATATTTTTTCAAATGGGATGCAATTTGGCACTTACGACCGAATTGAGTCTAGAAGCTAGTATGTCAAATTTGGTGAAGATCGGTTCAGATATAGCTATAGCTCCCACATACATTGTTCATCCGATTTGTTATATTTGTTACCCACAGCCGTAATAGGCACTTCGTAACAACGATATTCAGAGAAATATATGAAATACAGCTCAGAAATATCTTTGCCAAATTTTATCAAGATCGGTTCAGATTTTAATATAGCTCCAATATATATCATATATCCAAATGCTTCGGCATATTTAGTCCTTTGAACTTTAAATTACAATTATAATCATAGCAAGTATGAATGAATTCTCCTATAAAAACTTTTAATTTTTATATGAAGCTCTACTAAAATAGCAAAGTGGTGTAGGGTATCATCAAGTCGGCCCCGCCCGACTTGAAGACTTTCTGTACTGTTTTTTTTTTTTTTAATTCAGTTAATTTGCAAATAAATTAGACGACAGGAATAATGAAGAAGAAAATAAAATCGTTTTGAAATGTTTTCAAAACGTCACAGAACCTAATACAGGTCTCTCTTCACCGAAAACGATAATTACAAGTACCGGCAAATACCGACGAAAATGTTTAAATAATTTTTTCGTCCAGCTAAATACAGTCGAACTTAATTAAAAACACATGAGATTTTATTAGAGTTATAATTATTCAGAATTTTGACCCTTTGTGGGGGAGATAGACCGATATTGGAGTAGACCGATATTTTCAATGTTCGCACTTGACCTAGCACTGATGCAAATATTAGGATTTGCAAAATTGGAGCAAAATTGGATTATCCTTACTCTCTCTGTGCAGTAAAATATTTTCTTTAAAATGTTGACATTTTGTGGGGGAGGTACCACAAGGTGAAGACCGATATTGCCCATCTCTTAAATCGATTTAAGTTTGACAATAATATTACAATGTACGAAGTTTGGATCAAATCAAAATCTACCTTCGAGAGTTATCGTGTGCACCAGACAGACGGACGGGGGGACGCACGGACATCGCTAGATAGAAAGACAGATGGACGGACGGCCATTGCTAGATCGACTCCAAATGTCTTCAAATAGATTTGGTCCAATGAGACCTAGGGTCTAAAACCAATATTTCAATGAGGCACGTTTCCTCTCTAGCCATATGGCTGGGGGTGGAAAATGTTTCTCTATTCCTTATGGTCTTTTCTGAAATTGCTAAGGCTTGGGAATTCTAGAAGTTATATTAATTTTTTATGGAACCGCTCCATTGAATTTAAATGTAAAATTTTGTAATCTTCGAAATTCTGGCAACCACCATTAAGTGATGCCCACTGTACACTGACGCAACAGGTATGTAATTACATTACAAAGTTTCAATTAATTAACAGGTATGTAAATTAATCTTTACTTCATAACGTTGATTGTTGGACCTGCGAGTTAATTACTTAATTATTTCAAATTACATATATTTTTCATGAAGAAGGTGTGAATATTATATCTGAAAAAAAACTAGCTGATCCCGTTCGCTTTGCTGGCGTATAGTTTTAGTGTTTAATGCTAATTACATTACAAAGTTTCAATTAATTAACAGGTATGTAAATTAATCTTTACTTCATAACGTTGATTGTTGCACCCGCGAGTTAATTACTTAATTAATTTGAATTTCAAATTACATATATTTTTCATGAGGAAGGTGTGAATATTATATCTGAAAAAAAACTAGCTGATCCCGTTCGCTTTGCTGGCGTATAGTTTTAGTGTTTAATGCTAATTACATTACAAACTTTCAATTAATTATTATATCTGTTAGCATTCTTTCAAAAGGAGTGATTCGAAAAATCACATCGCCATGTGTGATCTGATGCTGTTTAATTAGGATATTAGGAAAAATCGGATACTGATTTCACATTTTAAAAGGGTTAATTTTAGGCCCTAAGTCTCTTTGAACCAAATCAGTTTCAGGAGATTTGGAGTAGATCCAGAGATATCCGTCCGTCCGTCTGTCTGGCTGGCAGGTGCGCACGATAACTCTCGAAGGGAGTATCCGATTTGGTCTGAGCTTGTTAAATCGTATTATTATTATCAAACTTAGATCGAGTTCGGAGATGGACCATATCGGTCCACTCAATCTGGTGCCTTCCCCACAAAGCGTTGGAAATGTCACAGCAAATAATTTATTGCACAGAAAGAGAAAGGATAATCCGATTTTACTCCAACTGTGCAAATCCTAATATTTGCACTCAGTGCTAGGTCAGCTGCGAAAATGGACTATATCGGTATACTCCATCAAGTACATCCCCCACAAATGGTCAAAAATTTAACACTTATAAATTTTGGAATAATTGTCCGATTGTCTTCGAATTTTACATATTCTTATATTTTCATTAACACAAAATCGGGTGTCAAGATCGGTCCACTACTTCTGGTACCTCCCCCAAAACGGGTCACAATTTTGAATAATTATGTCTATCATAAAATCCGAAATAAGCATCCAGTTCTCTTTATATTTCACACATACAAACATTTTTGCTAACACAAGATCTGTTGTGAAGATGGTATATCTCGGTACACAACTTCTGGTACCTCCTCCACTAAGGGTCAAAAGACTAATATACATAAAATTCATAAAGCGATTCTATTCAGACTTGGTACATCTCAATATTTCCATCAACACAAGATGTATAATAAAGATGGTAGAGATCCCATTCATAATTCCTTCTCGTACCTCCCCCACAAAGAGTCAATTTTTTGAATAAACAAAGCGATTATAGAATTCGAAATCAACATCCGGCTCTCTTCATATTTCACACATACCAATATTTCTACTAACACAAATACGGTGTGAAGGTGGGATATATCGGTTCACTCCTTCTGGTACTTCTTCACCCTCAAAGGGTCAACATTTTGAATAATTATAACTCTAATAAAATGTGATGTAAGAGTCCGATTATCTTCAAATTAGACACATCACTATATTTTTATTAATCTAAGGTCGGGTGTGAAGATGGAATGTATCGGCCCACTCCCATGAAGCTCATAAAACGCGAAATAAATATCCGATTCCATTCAGATTTGATACATCTCAATATTTCCATGAACACAGGATTTGTTATAAAGATGGTAGAGTTCGGATCATGTCTCCTGGTACCTCCCCCACATAGGGTTCAAGATTTTGAAAAAAAAAAAAAAAAACGCTGAAAGAATGCGAAATAAGCATCCAAATTTCTTCAAATTTCACACATTCAAACATTTTTATTTACACGAACCCTTTCTGGTACCTCACCCCCAAAGTATCACAATTCTCAATACTTGAGAAACGAATCAGCGATTTTTTACAACTTGCTTCATCTAAATATTTCAACCAGAAACCTGAGATGAATATGGAATTGTTGAATTCTCATAAAATTGGATACACATGTTCGATTTTCTTGTAATTTTGCCCATACCAATATTCTTATCTGTATTAAATGAAGTATGGAAATGGAATACTTCGGTCGACTATAACAGGTTCCTTTTGCACATTTCAATATTTTCTAAAAATTATCACATATTTCATTTAAATTGAAGGAAGTAGTCGATATAGTCCACTCTTGTAACGTCGCAATCAGAAAAATACCGAATACGGGGATGTACCGATATTTAGGAGCTATACGAAGTCGTGGACCTGCATACGAACATTTTTGGCATAGGCTGTAGTACTCATTACAAACTTCAAATATGAAAGTTATCAAATAACGAATATCGGAAGGGAGCGTTATATGGGGGCTATACGAAGACCATAGACAATTTTCTGTCATAGACTGTAGTATCCATTAGGAACTTTGAATACAAAATTTGAAACAATTCCGGTGAATAATATCGCTAAAATCTCTCGAAATACCGAATATCGGGAGATATAGGGGCTATACCAAAAGTCCTGTAGACCAAAGACATGTCTGCGTAAAATTATCAACCTACTTCAATTCGCTTGGAAGCTAGAGTGATTTCCACAGACGGACATCGCAAATTCGACATAGAATTTAATGCTGATCAAGAATATATAGACTTTGTAGTGTCTAAAATGTATATTTCGAGGTTTTACAAACGGAATGAGAAACTTAATGTACCCTCCATACTAGGATGATGGGTATAAAAATGCGTCTTATTGGCATTCGCCTTCAAAACCGCCAATTTCAAACTCATCCTTCCGCAACTTCCAATTTATTGAAACAAATGCATGAGGAAGGTATCCTTCCTTCAAGGAATTTCGAAACAATTACAGTCTATGTTATACAGAAAAAAATTGGGTTCAGCGATACGAAATAATCGAAAAACTTATATAAAAACATTGTTTTTAATATTACATATATATGAGAGATTAATAAATGACCAAAGATTAACAACAACATTTACTTTAAATTATTTTGCAATGTTTCTCCTCTCCACATTAAGTGGAGGACATTTGGCCAATTGCATTGATATGTGATTGTATAGAACTAAATCTTCCATCTTGGCTGTCGTTGAGAATTTATAACGTTTAATTATTTTGCTCATTGCAAATTTCAAATTCATTTCGGCGTAACGCATGCCTGGAAAGAAAAAGAGTACGAATTTAAATATCAGAGAATGTTTATATATCCATCTCTAGCTCCCTCTCTCTTACCGATACAAAACCGTATTCCCTTGGAGAATGGTATGAATGCATATGGATGTCTTGTTTCGACTTTGGATGGCAGGAAATTATCTGGATCGAAGATATCCGCCCGGGGACCCCACACATCCTTGTTACGATGTAAATTATAAGTATTCACCGTTAACTCCAGACCTTCTGGTATTATTACACCATTACTCAGTTTTAGATCTCCCCCCACGACAAGACGTCCAAAATGTGGGACTGTGGGAAATAGACGCATTGTCTCCTTTATAAACATATCCAAATAGGAAAGTTGCGCCAGATGTTCATAGGTCATCTCGAACTCGCCATCATCGTTGTCAGGAAACATTTCACAGATTTCGGCGTAGGCTTTTTCCTGATACTCCGGATGCATGGCCAACATGAGCATGACGAAATACAATGTTGATGAGGTGGTCTCAAAGCCCTGCAATGAAAATTGGGGTTTGTTTTAGGGTTTATAGATTATTTTTTACAGTACATACCGCTCCGAATAAATGTATCATACTTGAGATGGCAAGATCCTGTGTAATGTCATTTCGATTTAGGGCATCGAGTAAATTTTCGGCAACCGTATCAACGCCATCTACATAATGTGGGTCATTTCCAAGTTCTCCTGAGTAGTATTTGAATGTCTGCAATACAGATAATGTTAGTGATATTTAAGGTCATAACTATAATAACAATCTATATATCTATATTAAAACAAGTAAGCAAAGGCTACAGTCGTGCGGGCCGACCATGTGATACCCTACAACCCTACAATATATTAAAAGGTCCCTTATGTCCAAATCCATTTTGGAAAATTTCGCTTTTGAAATTATGTCACGGAACACTATCCTGATATTACCCTTAGCATTTTCACCAGGGACATTTGCCCAATATTTACGCACTCCGTCATACTGTTAGTTGTTGTGGTCCATTTTACAGCTAAATATAATCCATTGGTCATCCAAAATGCTTGAACTCTTCCCTGCCTTTACCTCTCTTCTCAGATGTGTCGACTGGCTTCAATTGTGTGATCAGGAAATTTTTTGTGTTTTTTTTTTTTTGATTCATTTGAACCGCAAAAATTTTGCTATCATCTCCAAAAGCAAGAGGCCCTCTGTACCTCCAAATTTAGACTCACCTACATGATTTGTTTGTATACGGTATTTGGCTATATTCGTCAACGAAAACAGCATAAAAATGCCAGAAGTTTGCCTTTTGTGTATTTTGGATATTGCCTGTAAGTTATTTTCAGCGTTTCGGTAGAATGGAAATGTTAGTATTTTTTCACACAAAAGTAGTGGTCCATTTAACCCGCTGTGATAAACTCTAACCTCATACGAGATTTCGTGTCCTTTGGTTTATATTTGTCACCTTTATAACGCCTGCAAAATCAGGAAAATTTTTAGTTGTTGGTCCATTTTAAACCCTAAATATATCATTGAAAACAATAGACCTTGCCCTTCTGAGCCCTATCCTTGGGAAAATTTTCGTGAGGAACAGACGATAATTGGCTTTCTGAATTGAAAAAATTTGTCAAAATCGGTCCAGCCGTACTTGGATTATAAGCATTCTATCTAAAATCCCCTTTCCTTGTATATACATATTGTATATATTGCTCTATATATATCCGATATATTTACTATCGGCATCTACGTAACAGTCAGAATTGAACTGTCCGTATATTTGTGATTTCGCCGGGATTAAAAATATTCGCGGTTTAATGGAAAATTTTACATTTATTTATCATAAATGTTATGTTATATTTCACCCACTAAATATTATCCGATGACCATCCAAATTGGGAGGCTTCTGCCGAGCCCTAAGCTCTGGCCCCATGCTAACTTCTGCGTCGATTGGTCCACAATTGCGACCTATAGAGCAACTGAAATATCAGGAAATTTCAGTTTTTGGTCCATTTCAACCCCTAAGTATTATGCGATCATCTCCAAAAGCAATAGGCTTCTGTTCTGGGCCCAGCCCCACCACCATTCTAAATTTCGTGAAGATCGGGAAACCAATATTTCGAGGTGTTACATAATTTCTGGCCCAATCAAACTTATAATACCCACAACACATAGTGTTGTAGGGTATAAAAATTGTAAAGTAAATGACTGATTGACTGACCTAACGCTTCATCAACGTCCAAAAAAAATCACATGAAGATATAATCTTGAATTTTTGTTTGAGGGCACTTTTGTTCCAAATGGGTCAGATAAGACTGTGTTATTGAGAAATTCGTACTAAAACTTCACGAAAAATATTAAAAGGTACTAAATATGGTATTGTATTTGAGGAGGCAGTAGAGCTAGAAATCATAGATTTGGAAAAAGGGTCAGTGATGGAGTTTACGATGGATGGGGTTTTTGGAAATTCGCACTATGAGTGTACGAAAAGTTCTTAAATGTACTACATTTGCTACCATTTTGTATCATGTGAACTGTTAGAGCTAGAAACTTAAAATTTGGAATAGAAGTCAGGGTGAGGAGTAGCTTCGATATAAGAAGTGTGTACTCATGTATACATGTTGAGATGAAAAAGTAAGTGGACGTAAGAAAACAGCTACATCAGCAGAAATGGTTCGAAAAGTAAATAGCGAAGCGATCTCGTCGCAGTGGCCGAAAATGGCTTGTGAGCTGAATATATCGCTATATTCCATTCGGCAAATATTGAATGAAAAATGAGCTCGCAACAGAAAGAAGATAGACTCAAAAGATCTAAAGAGTTGCTTCGCTTGGCCGAAAGTGGTGAATTGCCGATGAGAAAACATTCGTTGTCCAGCAGTTTGTAAACAAACTGAATTGGTCACTAGAACTCAAGCGTCGTCCATGGTGATAGTGTGGGCCGCCATAAGAGCCGCTCCGCTCGTATTTATCGACTGTGGCATCAGAATAAATGCCGAACATTATCGCGAAAATATTCTGGAGGGTGTATTATAGCCTTGGGCACGCAAACATTTTGGTCGCAGACCTTGGGCATTCCAACAGGACTCAGCACGAGCCACCCAATTTGGTTACAAAATGAGGTTTCTCGCTTCATTTCCAGCGCACAATGGCCACGAAAATGTAATAAATCCAGAAATGTGATATTGAGGTCTCTGCTGGTATTTGGAATTGAAATATGGAGGAGGTTTTGGAAATGTGTACTTTAATTGTACGAAAAGTACAAAATTGTACTAAGTTTGTTATTGGGCGAAGTGATTGTGCTGTAATCTTCAAATGTGGAATGTAGGTCCCTTTTAGTATGTGGAATTGAAATTTGGCTGTTGTTTGGAACTGCTTCCTATACTTGTACGAAAAGTACTAAATAGTACTATATTTTGTGTTAGGTGAGCTAATAGAGCTGAAAGCCTGAAATTTGATATGGATGTCACTGTTGGTGCCTGTGGTTCAGAGAAGGCCCTGGTTTTGGAATGCGTACAATAATTGCACTAAATGGTACTACATTTGACAATGGGGAAATTGCAGAGGTGAAATTCTGAAATTTGATATTAAGGTTGATATTGATTTTGAGATATGGAGATTGTCTTGAAAATTCATACTACAATTGTTCGAAAAGTACTAAATAGTTATACCCTACAACACTATGTGTTGGGGGTATTATAAGTTTGATTGGGCCAAAAATTATGTAACACCACGAAATATTGGTTTCCCATATAGGAAGGTATATATGGATCATCCTAGCTCGCCGAGCTGAGTCGATCTAGCTATGTATGTCCGTCTGTCCGTCTGTCTGTCCGTCTGCCCATGTTAATTTGTAATCACTCTACAGGTCGCAATTATGGCCCGATCTTCACGAAATTTGGAAGGGCGGTCGGGGTTGGGGCAGAATAGAACCCTATTTCTTTTTGAGATGATCGCCAAATGTTTAAGAGTTGAAATGAACCAAATACTGAAAAAATGTCGGATTTTGCAGTAGCTATACAGGTCGAAATTATATACCAATCGACGCGGAATTTCGCATGTAGCTAGAGTTTAGGACGGGGAAGAAGCCTACCAATTTGGGTGGTCATCGGATAATATTTAGCGGGTAAAATAGACTATATATTTTGTGTTGAAAAAATTCAAAATTTTTCATCAAACCGCGAATATTTTAAATCCCGGCGAAATCCCAAAGCCATGACAAGCTTACTTCTGACCTTTACATCGATGTTAACATCCAACAAATCGGATATATAGCAAAATATGTGCGATATATATGTCTATCAAAGAAGATATGCTTGAAAGATCGCTTATATGTCGATAACGGCTGAACTGATTTCGACAGTTCTCATTAATTCAGAATGGCCTCTTGGCAGGAAAAAAAAAAAACGTCAAAAAATCGCATACAAATATCTCTCTAAAGATGAAAATATTCATTTTGTAAAATTTTCTCATATTTTTTCAATTTTGTCATATTTTTGGCATATTTTCATTTTTTTGAATTAAACATTTGGTAATATTTCTACAGCTAACAAAACTAAGTAGTTAGGATATCAGGATATCATATACAGATCGCATTTATGGCCCGATCCTTACGAAATTTTGTATGGGGATAAGATGAGGGTCAGAATTGAAGCCTACTCTTTTTGGAGATGATTGCCATATATTTAGGGGTTGAAATTGACCAAAAAACTGCAAAATTGTCGGCAGGTCGTAATTATCGCCCGACCATCACGCACATTTGAAAGGGGGTTACCGGACATTGCAAAAGCCAAGCAGTTTTGGATGGCCATCCAAAAATATTCAATGTGTGAAATAGTTTGCCAACTTTTGTAGACGAAATACGAAAATGTCGATTCCAGTGACTTTTTGGAGAATTCACAAATACAGGAAAGACGCACTTCTGACTATTTCGTTGAAGAATATAGTCAAATGTCTGTATCTCATATAGATGCGTTTCAGTCAAAAACCAATAATAAATGTTAATCTTTTGCCACTTCTAAGAAATTATAGGTCTTTGGGAAATATTGGTTCCAGATCTAGGAAGACCATTTAAGTGCAACATCTACCAATAAATTGGAAATGAGCAAATTAGTTTAAGTTCCTATTATTCGAAAATTAGAGAACGAAACCTGATGGTTTTCTTTTATAATTTGTCACAATATCTTGTGGAATTCTTTCGAGTATCTCGCCTATATAAACTGTATCGTTTATTATAGTGTTGTAGGGTATTCAACGGTCGGCCCCGCTCGACTGTAGCCTTTGCTTACTTGTTTTAAATTGGGGTTTGGGTGAAGGAATAGAGCTGAAATCCTGAAATTTGACATCTGTCGGTGTCTGTGGTTTAGATATAGAGGTGATATTGGAAATATCTACTACGATTGTTAAAAAAGTACTAAGTGGTACTTAATTCGGTATTGGGTGAAGAGATAGAAGTGGAATAAGGAATTTTGATATTGAGGTCTCTTTTGTTGATGGAATTGAGATATGGAGGTGGTATTGGAAAATGTGCTATAATTGCACAAAAAGTACAAAATGGTACTAGATTTGGTATTGGGTGAAGATATAGAGCTTAAATCCCGAAATTTGATAGGTTGGAATCTGTGGTTAAGATATAGACGTAATTTTAGAAATGTGTATTCTAATTGTACGAAAAGTTCTAAGTGGTACCAAATTTTGGCATTGGGTGAAGGGATAGAGCTGGTATCCTAAAATTTGATATTCAGGTTTCTATTGGTATCTTATGTTGAGATATGGAAATTGTATTGAAAATGCGTACTTTAACTTTACGAGAAGAACTAAATGTTACAAGATTGGTATTGGGTGTAGGGATAGAGCTGAAATCCCGATATTTGATGTGGACTTCACTGTTGGTGTCTGTAGTTGAGAGAAAGAGGTGGCTTTTAAAATGGTTACAATGAACGTGCGAAGAGTGCAAAACGCCACAAAAGGTGTGTTATGTGCTGGAATAAATATGAAATTCTGAAATTGGGTATCGAGGTCACTGTTGGTGTTTAGGGTGGAGAGAAGGATATATATTTGTACATGCGTATTCTATAACTGTACGAAAAGTGTAATAATAAACCAGTGATTGGGTGTTAGGATAGGGTTCTTCAGCCAAATGTTGTTATGTTGTGACCATATACAAAGGGAATCTTATACACAGTTTGAAAGATATTTTTATACCCTCCACCTTGGAAAGGAGGGTATATTAACTTTGTCATTCCGTTTGTAACATCCTTAAATATTCGTTGTAGACCCCATAAAGTATATATATTCATAATCAGCATAAAATTCTAAGTCGATTTAACGATGTCCGTCTGTCTGTCCGTCTGTCGGTCCGTCCGTCTATTGAAATCACGATACAGCCCACATTATTTGATGTAGAGCAGAGCAATTTGTATTGTATCTAGGATGGTTGGTATTGAAAATCAGATATATCGGTCCACGTTCTGGTATAGTCTTCATATAACGGTACCTCCCAATATTCGGTATTTTGATGATTTATGCCACATTTTTTCACGGATTTGTCTGAAAATTGGTATTTGAAGGTCATAGGGTCCCTGTACGTGTGGCAAAACATTGCATGTATAGGTCCACAATTTGGTATAGCCCTCATATAAAGGTACCTCCCGATATTCGGTATTTTGATTATTTTTGCCACATTTTTTCACTGATTTGTCTAAAAATTGGTATTTGTTGGTCATAGTGGGTTCCAGCTCCGGTAGCGAAACATTGCATGTATGGGTCCACGATTTGGTATAGCCTCCATATAACGGTACCTCCCGATATTCGGTATTTTGATAGTTTTTGTCACATTTTTTTTTCACAGATTTGTCTAAAAATTGGTATTTGTGGGTCATAATGGGTCCCAGTTCGAGTGGCGAGTCATTGTAATTACAGGTCCACGTTTTGGTATAGCCCCCATATAACGGTACCTCCCGATACTCGGTAATTTGATGATTTTTGCCACATTTTTTCACGTATTTGTCTGAAAATCGGTATTTGTAGGTCATAATGGGTTCTAGCTCCGTTGGCGAAACATTGCATGTGCAGGTCCACGATTTGGTATAGCCCCCATATAACGTTACCTCCCAATATTCGGCATTTTAATGGTTTTTGCCACATTTCTTCTAATGTTTCCTTTAGCCTAAGGTGGAGGGTATTAAAAGTTTGGCCCGGCCGAACTTAATGTTTTTTTACTTGTTCGATATTAGGAAGGAGCTTTGAAATTTGATAGAAATCTTTGAATAGCATCCAGAATCATTAGAACAGAAAATAGGCCATATCGGTTCACTTTTTGGAATAGTCTCCCTTTCACGAATGACTCCGTTTTCAAGTCTTGTTTATGTTTTGGTCATATTTTCCATTTGGAAACAATTTTGGGATTGTGATTTCTTATTGTACAAGAACGCTATTTAAAAATTGAATTTTGTCGCACATCTAAAAAGTTCAATTTTCAACGTGGACCCCAACATAAAACAAAGTACATACAAAAAAATTGGTCGAAATACTTACCTCAACCACTTCGCTTCCCATAAAATCCATTGTTTTTCGTTGTTCCTTAAATATCGTTGAATGGGCCAATTTTAGAACATAGGGGTTTTGATAAATAATTTTGTATGAGATATCGGAAATATATTCCATGATCCTAAAATAAAAATTATATGTTAATAATAAAAACAATATTTTTGTATTTTAAACATTTTTACAATAAATTTAAAATCTTCTGTTCCAGAATCTGCTAGAATCTACTTGTTTTGCAATTGTTTTCAATAACATAGGAGAAAATTCGGTTATGGTAGCGTACACTTCTGCATTCTTGCAGTTCTGGAACAGAGCAAAAGTAAACTTATTTTTATGTATATTAATTTTTGCTGGAAATGGCTTTGACCTGCGGGAATTCTCAATTAATTTGAGTATTCTCTCTTCAGATTTTTTTTTTTTGCAAATGAGTGTTAAATCTCTTTTCTATATGCTTTTTTCTTCTTACCGAGATATCAGATGTGAATAGTCCTTTATATTGATTGTCGACTTATCCAGATCACGGCCAAGCAAAGATTCTGCAAATCAACACGATAATAAGAAGAAACTTGTTGAAAAATTAAGAAATAAAACCTTACCGGTTGTATTGCTAATTGTAAATTCACGACAATATAACAATATTTCTTCTGAATTCTTCATTTGGCCACATTTATCCATTTGGGCAAACAGTGCCGGGATCTTTCTATGGAAAATTGGTAGAAATTTAATTTGTTTCGAGAATTTAAAACCGGTGTCCATTAATTTTCTGTGCTGTTGCCATTCTTTTCCTGAAATTTTAACATTTTTTGTCAGTTATTAGTATTTAAAGTAAAATGTTTATTCCGATCCTACCTTGCATAGTCAGCAGTCCTTTGCCCATGGAATTCTTCATTCCGGCATAGTTTAGAGGACCCTTGTTGACGCATAATCTCGACGTAAGAATATCCTTAACAATTTCCGGATCACCAGTTACAAACTGGGGAAATGGTCCAATGTAGAAGAGAAAATGTTGCCCAAGCTTTTTACAGTTCTCAGCACCTCTCCTGATAATACCTGTGAATGTAAAGTACATATATATTAAGTTATAGAATATGATATAATTTTATCAAGCTAACAAAAATTACAAATGTAAAACAAGTAAGCAAAGGCTACAGTCGAGCGGGGCCGACCGTTGAATACCCTACAACACTATAATAAAGGATACCGTTTATATAGACAAGATACTCGAAAGAATTCCACAAGATATTGTGACAAATAATAAAAGAAACCCATCAGGTTTCGTTCTCTAATTTTCGAATGATAGCAACTTAAACTAATTTGCTCATTTCCAATTTATTGGTAGATGTTGCACGTAAATGGTCTTCCTAGATCTGTAATCAATATTTCCCAAAGACCTATAATCTCTCAGAAGTGGCAAAAGATTAACATTTATTATTGGTTTTTGACTGAAACGCATCTATATGAGATACAGACATTTGACTATATTCTCCAACGAAATCAGCGTTAACGAAATAGTCAGAAGTGCGTCTTTCCTGTATTTGTGAATTCTCCAAAAAGTCACTGGAATCGACATTTTCGTTTTTTGTCTACAAAAGTTGGCAAACTATTTCACACATTGAATATTTTTGGATGGCTATCCAAAACTGCTTGGCTTTTGCAATGTGTGGTAACCCCCATTCAAATGTGCGTGAGGATCGGGCGATAATTACGACCTGCCGACAATTTTGCAGTTTTTTGGCCCATTTCAACCCCTAAATATATGGCGATCATCTCCAAAAAGAGTAGAAATATGAGAAAATGTTACAAAACCGATATTTTCATCTTTAGAGAGATATTTTTATGCGATTTTTTTTCTTTTTTTTTTCTTTCCTGCCAAGAGGCCATTCTGATTTAATGAGAACTGTCGAAATCAGTTCAGTCGTTCTCGACATATAAGCGATCTTTCAAGCATATCTTCTTTGATAGACATATATATCGCACATATTTTGCTATATATCCGATTTGTTGGATGTTAACATCGATGTAAAGGTCAGAAGTAACCTTGTAATGGCTTTGTGATTTCGCCGGGATTTTTATATTCACGGTTTAATGAAAAATTTTGATTTTTTTCAACACAAAAGAAATGGTCTATTTTACCCGCAAAATATTATTCGATGACCACCCAAATTGGTAGGCTTCTTCTCCGCCCTAAACTCTAACTACATGCGAAATTCCGCGTCGATTGGTCTATAATTGCGACCTGTATAGCTACTGCAAAATCTGCAATTTTTTCAGTATTTGGTCCATTTCGACCCCTAAACATTTGGCGATCATCTCCAAAAGAAATAGGCTTCTATTCTGATCCTTCTATTCTGATCGTGTAAAATTTCGTGAAGATCGGGCCATAATTGCGACCTGTAGCGTGATTACAAATTAACATGGACAGACGGACGGACGGACATACATAGCTAGACCGACTAAGCTCGGCGAGCTAGGAAGATCCATATATACTTTCCTATATGGGAAACCAATATTTCGAGGTGTTACATAATTGTTGGCTCAATCAAACTTATAATTCCCCCAACACATAGTGTTGTAGGGCATAAAAAATGTATAAAAATACTAATGAATTTAGATCTGAAATTGCTCTGATTTGAGAGACATAGTTAGAATATTAAACAATTATTCGAAATATCAAGGTTCGTTTTCTAATTTTTCATAACTAAGTAATGTGTTAATATCCTTTCGAGAAATCTAGAATCAAACTCTAAAAAGGGGCTAAAGTAAGGCAACTATTTTTATATCCAACACAATGTGTTGGGGGTATTATCAGTTGGATTGGGCCAAAAATTATGTAACACCTTGAAATATTGGTCACCGATATAGGAAACTATATGTAGATCTTCCCATCTCCCCGAGCTGAGTCGATCTAGCTATGTATGTCCCACCATCTGTCTGTCCATATTAATTGGTAATCACGCTACAGATCGCATTTATGGCCCGATCCTCACGAAATCGGAAATTGAGTTGGGATTAGGGTCAGAATAAAATCCTATTATTTTTGGAGATTATCGCAAAATATTTAGTGGTTGAAATGAACCAAAAAAAAAAAAAAAAAAAAAAAAAATATTTCTTGATTTTTCTGTTGCTCTACAGTTCACAATTATAAACCAATCGACGCGGAATTTTGCGTGGAGTTAGAGTTTAGGGCTGGACAGAAGCCAATTTGGGCGATCATCGGTTAACATTTAGCGGAAAAAATAAACTTTAACGTTTTTGTCAAAAAATACGAAAATTTCCACTAAACCGCGAATATTTATTTATAAGTCAAAGCCTGCAGGACCGATTTTCATAATTCTCATCAATTCGGAATGCTCTCTTGCCAAAGGAGGATAAAATCTAAGAAGATCGCGTAAAAATATGAAAAAAAAAAACAAGTTAAAAACAGCTATGTTCGACCGGTCGAATTTTTTTACACTCCTCCATTGGTTTGGCCGGTCGAATTTTTATACCCTCCACCATTTGAAAGAAACTGGAAAATTAAAAAAAAAAAAAAAAAATTCAGCCGTAATTTATGTCATAGTCTGTAGTAACTGTTCCGAACTTTATATACGAAATTTGAAACAATTCCGGTGAATAACGTCGCAAAAATCATCAAAAAATACTGAATATCGGGAAAATCGTTATGTAGACGATATATGATATCGTGTACCTACATAGACAATCCTCTTCCAGGGGGTAATGTACTCACAAGGAACTCCTTCTGGATTTTAAGACAATTCCATTGAAACATTTGGTTGTAATCATCAAAATACCGAATATCGGAGGGTACCTTTATATGAGGGCTATACAATATCGTGGACCGATACAGCCCATCTTTGAATTTGACCTGACAATTCCATTGAAAAATGTGGCTAAAATCATCAAAATACCGAATATAGGGGCGTACTGTTATATGGGGGCTACACGATATCGCGGACATGTAGATAATTCTCTTGCAAGGGGTAAAGTACTCACAAGGAACTCCTTTTGTGGATTTTAAGACAATTCCATTGAAACATTTGGTTGTAATCATCAAAATACCGAATATCGGAGGGTACCTTTATATGAGGGCTATACAATATCGTGGACCGATACAGCCCATCTTTGAATTTGACCTGACAATTCCATTGAAAAATGTGGCTAAAATCATTAAAATACCGAATATCGATGGGGGTACCGTTATATGGGGGATGTACGATATCGCGGACCTATGTAGACAATTCTCTTTCGGGGGGTAAAGTGATCGTTAAGAACTGCTTGTGCAGAATTTCAGATAATGCCTTTGAAAAATGTGGCTAAAATCATCAAAATACCGAATATCGGGAGGTATCGTTAAATGGGGGTTATACGATATCGTGGACCGATCTAGCCCATCTTCGAACTTGACCTGCCTGCAGTCAAAAATTCGTAATTCGTTTTGACTGTGGCGTGATTGCAACGCAACGGCTGATCGACAATATATATATATGTTGTTGGGTCTAAAATTATTACTTCGATGAGTCACAAACGGAATGACGAACTTAATATACCCTCCATACTATGTGTGGTGGAGGGTATAAAAATTGAATATTTTTGATAACTTTATTCAATTTTTGCCATTTTCATTAGCAAATTATTTTCATTCTGCGAGCTTGGCTTTAACTTTCTATCAAATTTTCATTTTTATGCTAATATCTGTAGAATTCAAGGGATTGCACATATCTTACTTGGAATTTGACATACGTAAAGAAAAAGTCTACATATTTAGTTTACGAAGCACTTAAATACTTCAAACCATGATTGATCATGTAAAGTAGCTTAGCACTGATATCTGGTGGCCTTAAATTCGGAAAGTCAAATTCCTGTTGATAACTTAAATCGCGTTTTTCTCTCAACTGAATTTTTTGAGATTTGACATTCTTCTTGTGAATGAGCGACATGTTTACATTGAAAACCCTATAAATTCTTCCCATTTTAGTTCAAATGTTTCTATTTGTTTTTCCATTTCTATAGCTCATTAACAAAGCTGTTAATGAATTTGCAATTCTTAATATTTAATTCAAAAAAAAAAAAAAAAAAAAAAAAAAATCCCGAAGCCAACGTCTTGAAATTTCACTGATTTATTTTAAAATAAATTATAAATAAATACATTTTAAATTAAAAGTAATTTCAACAAAACACAATTTTAATTACATTTCAAAAGTGAAAGATTTTGAAATTCAAATTAATGTAACTGGAACATTGAACGGAACCTTATAATCGGTGATTGATTAAAAAAAAATATAATATGTATACATATAGTAAAAAAACACCTGCAAATTCCCGGTTTTTAAAATATTTTATTTTTATTAATTAAATGTTGACATTAACTGCTATTTTAATCGAGTTCATGGCTTATTTTTAACGTTAAAAGATATAAAAAAAAAATTATTTGTATGTGTTACAAAATCAAATCATCACATTGTCTTGAATTACCGACCTGATTATATCGGGTTGAATGCACTCGAATTTCGAGGTCATAACCTTGGTATCCACCCATCCATACCAGATTTTGTGTTAGAAACAAGTCAAAAAGCTGTGAGTTCGGCCCGGCCGAACTTTGAATACCCCCCACCATTTGGTACAAATTAAACAATTTTCGAAAAGATAAAATCCGTTAAAAATTCTGTTAAAATCTTAAAAATACCGAATGTAGCCGTATATTAGGGTCTATACGACGACGGGGACCTGAATAGGCAACGTTTGTCATAAGCTATTACAATATTCAAATGCGAAACTTGAAAACAATCATCAAAATACCGAATATCGTAGGGTTCCGTTATATGGGGGCTATACGAAAACGAGGACCTGTCATAGGCTGTAGTATCCATTACGAAGTTCAAATACCAAAATTAAAACAGTTCCGGTAAATAATGTCGCTAAAATCCTCAAAATATCGAATATCAGAGGGTACCGTTATATGGGGCCTATACGAAGACATGGACCTACATGGTCCATTTTCTGTCTTTAGCCGTAGTATCTATTACGAACTTCAAATACCAAATTTGAAACAA